GCACTACGATTTGTTTAAATGGCACCCTTGAAGGCTTTTCTCCTCCTCCTCCTCCTCGGGTCTCCATCAAGGTTTCCCCCTATCTCCACTTCTTTTCTGCATTGTGATGGATGCCCTCTCTTGCTACCTTATCCAGCATATTCTTGTTCCCTCTATTCGTAGCAATAGTTATGAGGTCAATTTAAATCACTTGTTATACGCGAATGATTTACAGGTTTTTGGTAATGCTTCCCCTTCCTCTGCTGTCATCCTCAAGGATTCTCTAACTTACTTTGCCAAAGCTTTTGGCCTTCACATCAATCCTAACAAAAGCATTACCAAAATTGCTTTTCTCTACAACATCCATCCTTTTCTCTAAAATTGCTATGCATTCGGAGGCTGTCTACAACATCCTTGGCATCTCCAAGGTGGAATCATATCTGAAGTATTTGGGGCTCTCCATCTCCCACACAAGACTTAAGTTTTCTCACTTCCAACCACTCCTGAATAAAATTACTACTCTACTTGATAGTTGAAAAGTTAAATTTCTTTCTTTTGCAGATAGAGTTCAATTTATCAAATATATCATTGCTAACTCTATTGCTTACTGGATTAGAGGATCCATTATACCACGAAAATGCCAAAATATTGTTTCAAAACTATGCTCAAAATTTCTTTACCATGGTAACATTTCTGATAGGAAAATGCACATTATTGCCTGGAAGGAGACGGCTCTCCCCACTCAATTTGGTGGTTTTACTGGTTTAGGTATTAATTCTTTTGAGGCCTTATATCATGCTACCTCTTGTTCTTTTATCTGGAAGTTTTATAATGTCCAATCTACCGCTAGCAACTGGTTTAGATTCAAATGTTGCTCTGTCTGGAAACCACCAACCACTTCTTCTAAATTCTGGAAAATGGTTTGTTCTACTGCTCAAAAAATCAAAAGCCAAATTGTCATTTTGGTGCCTTCTCATGGTAACATTTCGATGGCTTGGGACCCTTGGTGTAATGGATCTCCTTTAGCGGATTTCCTTTCGATGACAAACTTTGAAAAGTTGAAGTTTTACTCCTAGGTAAACCATAATTGGGTTATCCCTGCGGCCTGGCCTAATTATCTGAAAACTGCAATTATGAGCATTCCTATTATTGAGCAACCTGCTTTATCTTGGATTAGTTCGGACAAGACCACCTATAAAGTTTACATTGCTCAGTTTTTTAGTCATTTGCATGAGGTTTCTTAGCATAATTATATATGGCATAAAAGGCATGCTTTACGATTTTCTTGTTACTAGTGGATGGCCATTATCGAGAAGCTTAAATGTGCAGATGTTTTAATCCAAAGGGCCATTCCAGTGAACCCCAATTGCTCTTTCTATCAAGCCTCTCTGGAAATGCATAAACACATGTTTTTTGACTGTGACTTCTCTTTTTCGGTTATTTCTTTGGTTCTTCCCCCATTATTGAAGTTCCTTTTAAGGCCCAACCTTCTTCAAGTTTTAGAATTTCTGGATAATGTTCATCATTTCAATGGGGAAGATAAGAATTTCAGTTTTTTAGTTGTTTCTTGCACTGTTTATAACCTTTAGTTGGAACGGAATAGAAGGGGTTTTGCAAATTCTTGGAATAGTCCTACCCAGTTTATGAAAATTATCAAATTTGCCATTCTTTAGAAAGTTAAAAAATGGAAAGGTTTTGACAGGTTATCTGCTCGTTTTGCTTTGCTCACTTGAATGCTCTGATCGTTTTTTCTGCTGCTATTGGGCGGGTTATTGCTGCTGGATGCAAGATTTTTGGTTGGGTCTATGATGTTAGGGGCCAGCCTATGCACTTACTTCAGATTGTGTTTAGACGCCTGTTGTCTTCGTTATTGTTTGGATTCGTCAGCTTGTTGGAAGATCCTCTGCCCCTATGCATTAATTCTGGCAATCGGCTTGTCTTGGAGGGCCAATTTTACTTTTATTTTGATGGCTGACAGCGTCATTTAGTTGTATGGGGTTTGTCTATTCCCAATCTGTATTCTAATGTTGCTCGGAGGCTAGCCTCTCCCTGAGACCCCTTTTTGGCTGCCTCAACTCCTCCTTTTGTTTGGCGTTTTGGTCTTTTCCTTTCGTTTTTGGGTTTTTACAGGTTTCAGTTTTACTTGTAATCATTTTTCCTTTAATATACAGGCATAGTCCCCCAAAAAAAAAAAATTAGACTTTAAGGTGACCTCCATAATTCAAGTAAACCTTCAACTCCCTCTCTAATCTTATTAATAAGAAGAATATCATAAGTAAAAAGCATACACCAGAGTACATCCTCCGACAAATGTCTAGTAAGAAAATTCTTGACTAAAGTATCTCCTTTTCAAAATTTAAATTAATTTGAATGGCGGGGACTTCACTAATTTAACCCATCTATTTTAGGAAAATAATTTCATATTTTAAAGAATTTAAAATCTGATTTGAAAACTTTGATTTTGAATTGAGAGGGAAGCAAATTCAAAATTTTTGAAATTAATTTCAGTCAAAAGGGTGGAGGTAATTGGGGAATTGATGGCTTAATTGGGGGAGCTTTAATGGGCCTCCTAATTACAGGAGAGGGGGGTGGCCAAGAGGGGAAGGGGAGGGAGCCACATGCATTAAAGAAGATTGGAGGAGATTAAGGGATTTAATTAAGTTTCCAATCTAAGTCAATTTAAATTAGGAAAGAGAATTTAATACAAATTATCTCTCCAATTTAAATTCAAATTTAAAAGATCTTGATTGGAGGGACTTTCTTAATATAACTCATCCTATTTTAGGAAAGAAAATTTAAATTCCAATAGATTAAAATCTGAATTTAAAAATTCTTCCTAAATTAAAATATGTTATTAATGGAAAGCATCAATTTGGGAATTTGAAATTTGGAGGCAAAGGAGGGGGGTATTGTGGCTGGTGGCTTGGAGGGGAAGGATTTTAGGGTTTGAGCCGGCGGTTGGGAGGAGGGGAGGAGTGGTTTTGGGTGTGGGGATTCAACCAAGAGAGAGAAGGGAGGATGGTGTTCGGCCTAGGGTTAAGGCGGGGAATTTCGGCAAAGGGAGGGGGGGGGGGTTAGGAAGGCAAGAGGGGAAGTGGCGGAGAAGATAAACCACGAGCCCGGATGCTTCCTGCGGCTGATGGATAATGTTTTGCCCTCACCTAGGGATTTCAAATCACGAGCTCAAACGCTTCCTACGACTGGTAGTTAGTACGTTTCTCTCATTTAGGGACTTCAACTCTCATAAGAACTCTCAAAGCTCTTACGAACAAAAGTGCATAATTTTTTCTTCATAATCATCCATCCCCTAAAAAAAGGGGGCTATAAATAACCAAAATACAATAATAAGACAAATAACAAAAGTGCCCCCCTGGGATCACATAGGCCTACTCCCTCAAGTGAGGGTAAAAACGAAAAAATGCATAAATAAATCAAAATACAAATAATAACTCAAAATAAAATGGTACAATCATGGTCGTCGATCTTCGGCTTTTCCTTTGATAAATTTTCACGATCGGATGTCCTCATCAGTTCTGCCATAATGGAGGGTTGTGATTTGAAAGGAAATTGTGATATTTCTACTTAACGAATGTGAACATGGGTTTCTCTAGCATGTAGTGGCTACGAGATTAAGTTAGGATCCAAAGTTAAAAAATTGAATTGGTTATTATCTTTTACATATTAGGAATTTAGTTTTAAAATGAATTAAGATGGATATTGTGCTAATCATATCTACATACAAAGGTTATGAGAAGTCCATAAATAGATGCTTCGAGATATGTAAAAAAACTAACTTGAATAAACTTTCTATTTTCAATTTTAATTTTGTGAGTGTAAGTTGGATGTATGATTCTTTCAATGTTGATACAAATATTACTATATGTTTGCAGGTTATGGTGGAGGCATGATTTTCTTATGTTGATATCTTTGCGCTTCAATTTATTTCATTAACATGATTTATCATTGAGATATTTAGTGTTCATGATTCTGATAAAAAAAATTTACACATCATATATCCAAATTATGAGAATTAATTCATTTGCCCGGATTTATATCTTTATAATTTATTGTTGAAATTCCCTAACTATTTTGATCATTTCATCATCAATTAGTTTTAAACTCTAGTAATGCTTGTTATATTTTAGAAGAAGTTGAATTAATTTGTGGCTTGTGATTTGTGAATCTAACATTTGAAAGCTAACTATGCAACATATAAGCTGCATTAGGGCACGCTAACCCTCAGCTGTCCTGCATCGAATCAGTATTAGAGCCAAGCTATGGTTTGCTGGAAGAAAGTTCGCTGGCATAATAAATCCAAAGAGTCGCCAGCTCACTATCAGAAAATGCTAATACAAAATTTCAAAAATATTGGAATCAATAAGTGATCATAACCACACATGGCATCAAACCTCAGTTCATTCCAACAGAATTCTTCAAATGATTGGCATCATTCCATTATGTTAAATTATGCAAAGAGATTTAAAGTTCCACTAACTCTCAGTTCATCCATTTTTACTCAATACTATACATTCAGAATACAAATACACTAAATTATTGATTTAAGAAAGCAAACGAATAGAAAAAATATAATGTATACTGAAGTTGGAAGTTGCACTAAAAAATTAGTTACTATAAAACCATAGATCAGGCAGAACAGCAATAAAATGACCATATGAACTTCACATTTCAAAAATACATATAATAATATAACAGAATTCAAGAATGAAAATTCATAAAGAAAAACCTATACATAACCAGCAAAATAACATCAAATATTTCATTTAAAAAGGTCCATACACGAAATCGTCAAGATAACAATAAAACCATATGATTGTAACAAGGTTGTCTCTTATCGGCGAGTTGAATTGATCCCAGTCGCTCAAGAAAAGTTTAGAGGTTTGAATCACTCAAAAGAGCATAAAACCATTGAAGCTGATAAGCTATTCACAGAAATTTTAAAAAATTTATTAATATTGGTAAAAGTTAGATAGTTCACACCAAGGCAATGAAATAATAGTCACCTTTGACAAGTTCTGTATCCGACCATATGCCCATAAGCCCAAAAGTCCAATCAAGGCAACCCCAAGTGTTACAAGAAAGACAGATTCAATCGTGATAAAACCACTAGCCTCCACAACTTCAATAGTACCATTATAGAAGACATTCTGGTAAAGATGTTGATCAATCTCATACACAATAGTCCCTACTAAATCAAATGTGCCAGGCTGCAAAAAAAAAACATAAATCAATAGTTGAATTAGAAATGTATACATCAATCCTGATTTAACCACGTGCATAATTAACAGAATAAGGCTATCCACTAATCCAAACATGAAACATTACAACTATGAAACAACAAAATACCTGCAAGTATTTGCTTACAGCAAAAACATAAGGGAATGTTGCCTGAGCAGATAAGGGCACCGTGATATTGTAAAACTCCTGTATTAGAAACACGAATGTTTGAAACTCGAAAACTAATAAAAAATCAATAAAATGAAAGAAAATAAAAGGTTGAGAAAAGAAAACTACGGAAAAGAATGTATGATATATTAAAAGGGTATGGGCATGGTAGGGGCTGTTACTATCAAATACAAGAGCTCTACCTAAGTCATTATGAATTATGATTAACCATATGAACGAATTTGCTTTTCTTCTAAAGCTCCAATCCAGACGGTTCCAATATGCATTGAACTTACCAAAACCGAATGCTTTTTACAATAAGCATCATGTGTTTAAAAGACATTCATGTGGAAGAGAATGAAAAAATAAGCAATCATAAAAAAAGATATTAATTTTTGACCTATCAATGATAGCTGAAAAAAGACCGCATCCCACTTCCTTTTTCAACAACAACAACAACATCAAGCCTTTATCCCACTACGTGGGGTCGGCTACATGAATCCTTTTTCTCCATTGTGTCCTATTAAAGGTCAAATTCTCGTTTAAATCTAATAAAGAAAGGTCATTCGGTCATTCCTAATATTTTCTAACCAAGTCTTTTTAGGTTTACCTCTACCTTTCTTAACATAAGTCAAATCTCACATCCTTTTTCAAAATAGATATAAATTTACCTCGCGACTCTTCACAAAATTTAAGCTAAACTTGCATCTTCTCCAGATTTATATATGAGATTTTTGTTAAGAATATGAATTCTAAGGCAACTTTATTCGTCAAAACAAAAAACATGGATGTGGAGAGTTGGACTCAAAGAGGAAAAAAATAAAGCATGTGTAGTTTTTTGTAAAAATAACATATGAATGCAGATAAAAAGTACTCATTATTTAATATAAAAAAAACACCATCTGCATAATAAGCATCCTTGCATGAAGCATAAACTTAAGTGAATATGTCAGCCATTTACCTAGGTCAAAAAAGCAAGGTTACCTGTATGGTAAGATTTTGGACAAGCATGCGGTGATCATAAGAAAGATGAAGGCTAGCTCTCGTAGCGATGACATTCAAAGAGGATTCTCCTGAAGTTTTGCAAGTATGATCAGATAAAAAAAACTAGAAAATTACAAGGAAAGAAGGCAAAATAAATAATTTGAATGCAATGAAATTATGACAGAAAAGTTGCCAATACCGTGTGAAACTAAATCAATTTGAAGCAATTAAACATAGGGTATGAAATATTGTGAGATAGCATTTTGAAATAACTGAGAATGTGATGAGGAAATCCAATTGTTAAAGTTTATCAGAGGATGAGCCAAAGATCGACGGTCATGATTGTACCACTTTATTTTGAGTTATTATTTGTATTTTGATTTATTTATGTATTTTTCCGTTTTTACCCTCACTTGAGGGAGTAGGCCTATGTGACCCCCCAAGAGACACTTTGTCATTTGTCTTATTATTGTATTTTAGCTATTTATAGCCCCCTCTTCTTTTTAAGGGGATGAATGATTATAAAGAGAAAACCTTACACTTTGTTCGTAAGAGCTTTGAGGGTTCTTTTGAGAGTTGACTTTCCTAATTTAAATTCTTGTAAATTTGGAAAGTCAAAAGATTTCAAATTTAAATAATTTTGAATTTGAAATATCTTTCCTAAAAGAAATGAGTTATGTTAGGAAAGCTCCTCCAATCATGCTATTTTAAATTCAAATATACAATTACCATGATTTCTTTCCCTAATTGGTATTCCAAGATTGACAAGTCATTAAACACCTCATCTCTCCCCTTTGATTTCAAATTTTAAATTTTAAACATGTAGTCACTATTTTTCATAATTAGTGCATTTTAAATTAGGAAAGTTTTCAAATCAGGTTTTAATTTACTCAAAATCTGAAATTCCTTTCCTAAAACAACATGAGCTATATTAGGAAACCTCCCCCAATAATGCCATTTTGAATTTAATGGGAGATTGGCCTTAATTTCCCCTCCCATAATTGATAGCTAGAGATTGGCAAGTCATGAAACACTTCAATTAAGTCTCCATCAAGGGGACCGGCCCCTCCCTCTCTCCCTTTCCCCTTTTGCTACTCCCAACTAATTTTCTCAATCAATTACTCCAAATTAACTTCAAATTTGGGATTTGATTTAATTCATATTTCCTTAATTGAGATATCATAATCGGCAACTCTTTTAAATCAATAATCCCATCCCAATCATGGCTAGCTTGGTTCTACATCATTTTAGTATCAGAATATGATTGCAAAGTTATCTATAATTCAAACAAGCTACCAATCCTCCACAAGGAAAATAATGAACCAAAAGTTACATGTTAACCCTAGGCTACTAATTACTTTCCTTTGCTCACTAAAGCAATTTTTCATTTTTTTCCCTTATTCCTTTAACATTTCATGCCCTTCATTAAACCCAACTCCTACACCCTCTCGCCACAAAATCGCCACTCGACCGAAAGGAGAGAAAAAAGTTTAGGATTTTGATGGTTTAGCATATTTCCCTATGAAGACTTTAGAATGAATAGTAAAGTAAAGTCACACCTTTTAGAGTATATAACTAGATATGTACACTTCACATCCCACTTTCTACAAATCTCCATAACAATCATATTTATGGTTAGAAAACAAGCTAAAAACATGGAAAATTCACTATTATCCATAACAAACTGAATTAATCATAAATTCATTTTTAATCAAGCAATGATAGCTATCAAAATTTCCAACAAGAAATAAAATATTATGTTAATGACATAATTGCATTATCCTACCCATTAATAAACAAGAAAGGAGCTATGCATGTTCTGTGCTATTTAATAATAATAATTACAGCATGGTGAAGGTAAGAGAGTAAGTCTAGCCCAATAAAACCAATGCTATTGCCTATGTCAAGCGCACATCATGGAGTTGAGAGGAATTCATACAGCATGTGTTAATTCATGATAGAACCCAAGTTTAAATGTGGGATAACATGGGAACTTTGTAGGAAACCAACATGATGAGCCATCTTAGTGATATTTGAACAGGATGCTATGGATGAAAATAAATTAATCAATTAATTAATTAAATGGATCACCCTCATTATGCATTCCAACTAGTAATTCTGTCTCTTCCCCGGCTGGAACCACTGCAGTCAAATAAAGTTGTTATAAACAAGTGCAGAAAGCCTAAAAGTAAGAATGATGAAACAAAAGCAATTATTTCATAACAGAGAGAAAACACACACATCTTGCAGCATTCTTTGGGAACACGCATATTGTGTCCACCCCAGGAGCTGGAACTAAAGAACCATCACTAAAGTCTTGTGCTTCATCACCAACTATTCCAAGTTCACCTCCTTCAACTTCAGCTACCTCCTCTGCATTGTCAACCTGACTTCTTACAACTATCACGAGAACATTGAAGTTAGCATATACGGACAGATCCAAAACAGTCAGGCCTATTTTGTTATAATAAAAGGGAGCTACCAGGTATCATCTTTTAAGCAGGATTTAAATTTGCTTGAATACCATCAAACTGATTTTAAGGAAGTTAAATCTTACTATTTTGATAAATCCTATTTCAGCATTATTGGTTAAATCCATGACTTGCTAAATCCAATAATTCATAGGATTTATCAGAATATAATTTCTCTCTCACACAAAAATTAAATCTTAAAAAAATAGCAAGATAGATTATCAGCATTCAGCAAGATTTAAAAGTTGTCATGTGAAATAGTTTTCAAGCTTTAATCCTCTCACGATTTAAAAACAAGCCTGGATTTACAGGATGTACCAAATCCTACTCGCACCAAAGTCAGAGTGATGATCTGATCCAAAATCTGTTTAAACGGCGACTTTCATAAATAACACATCAGAAATGCCCATCAGATAGTCCTAAATTTTACATCAAAACAGTGGATCGCATTCGGTGAACTTTTCCTCATTACCAGCAAATTCAAAGATATCGTAACATCTATAAATATATTTTCTATAATACATGTCCTTTTGTACTCATATCAAATTCTTACATCCTCCACATAGAGTAAGCAATCCGCGGATCTACGATAAAAAGTGCAGGAAAAACCTAATGCAAACACTAAATTCTAGAGAAAAGAATCGAGGTAACGCATCAAGTCGGAGCGATGAATACAACTCCAATTTATTGCAATAAGTCCGAGACCGCAGAATTAAGCGAGAACAGGAACGGAGGAAGATACCTTGGAGGATCGGAGATGCGAGGAGGAGGAAGGCAACCACGAAAGAGATAACCCTAATTTCCATGGAGAAATTGACGAAAGAACCAGCTGAAAGTAGAAAGAAGCCCTGGTCAAGTTCCAATGGGTGCGGGAATGGGCAACTTGGACTCCGGCTTGGAGCGGAAGCATCGATCCCTTCTATGTATAAATATGCTAATCAATACCCTTCCATTCAAGGAATTTTTATTGCCTCTGACGCATCTCTACATTCGGTATGGCTTCAAATCGTGACACCTGGCAGCTACCTTTACCCGTTACCAGACCCGACGAAGATTGGGTATGTTGCACGTGCGAAATTTAAATTTGATGGCCCGAGCAGCGGACCCGAAAAATATCCCGCGGACCCGAAAATGACGTATAATTTTCAAACTAAGTTTACAGTCTTTCACTTCAGTCATAATTTTGTTGCATATACTTCATCTTCTTCCACCGGTGTTTCTTCTTCTTGCGATCCTTCTTCTTCTTTCAAGTTTCAAGGTCTTCGTATTTTCATCTCCTTCCAAGTTCAAAGCTCTCACTATTTGTGTTTACAATGCCACATGTTAGTTATTTTTATATAAACAATGCATCCTCTTCTTTCTTTCAAATGTTTAGGGTTAGGTTTTACCAAGTTAAACTCCTATACCTGCTCCGGCAGATTTAAAAACTGATTACCGAGCGGTACCGAGCATTACTAACAGTCGATACTGCTCGGTATTGGTCATTAATAGTTGGTATAAGCTTAGATAAAAACTCTGACTGCTCGGTACCGAGCAGTATCGAGCTTTACTAACACTCGGTACTGGCCATTAATGTTCCGTATAAGCTTAGCTAAAAGCTCGGTACTGCTCTGTACCGAGCAGTACCGAGCTTTACTAACACTCGGTACTGGCCTTTAATGTTTCGTATAAGCTTAGATAAAAGCTCGGTACTACTCTGTACCGAGCAATACCGAGCTTTACTAACATTCAGTACTTATCTGTAGCGAGCAATACCGAGCTTTACTAACACTCGTGATTAATTTTAACTTAATTACATCTACTAAATAGAAATACCAAACTCAATGATTCAAAATTGATTACTAACCAAATGAAAACTAGAAACAAAAAGAAAAGGTTGATTAAGACCGGGGCAAAGTGCATTTTTCTCAACTAACAAATGACCAAACGCATCAACGTGATTATTGTCAAGTTCCTCTGCCATTAATAATTCGTCCAATTGACTTCGATAATTTGTTATATATCCAAGCTCGAAAATAGTGTCGTTCATGTATAATTCAAAAAAACATTAATTAGAAAAGATGATTGTAAAAAATACTATTGTTATATTTCCAAGCTCGGTAGTACTCAGGTATTGCTCGGTATTGATAAAGTACCGAGTATGTTTAATGTAATACCGAGTAGTAGCATATAGTAAAGCTCGGTACTACTCGGTATCACGTGGGACTATTCGGTACAACTCGATATTGATATAGTACCGAGTATGTTTAATGTAATACCGAGTAGTACCAATCAGTATAGCTCAGTACTACTCGGTATTACGCGGTATTCATATAGTACCGAGTATGTTTAATGTAATACCGAGTAGTACTATATAGTAAAGCTCGGTACTGCTCGGTATCACGCGGTACTACTCGGTACAACTCGGTATTTATATAGTACCGAGTATGCTTAATGTAATACCGAGTAGTACCGATCAGTATAGCTCGGTACTACTCGGTATTACTCGGTGTTGATCGGTATAAGATCATTACTCACTTATCCTTAAATTGTTTGAGGGCATTATCAATAAACAGCCGTTATCTTCACTAAGTAATGATCTGCCTGGGTAATCTAAGTATTCAGGAGCAGGTTTAAATGGTATTTTCTTAGAATCATCAACTTCATAAACAATCATAGTTTTTTCAGTAGTTGGAATATGTGTCGGATCTGGTAAAACAAGTCCAGAAACTTCAGTATCAATAGGTGGTTCAGCAGCAGTAACAGGAGCAGTTTGATGTGCTGGTAGAGGAGCATGACCAGGTTCATGGGACTGGACTAGAACATCACTTGGAATTTTCTCACATAACTTCTCTGTGGATGATGAAACTTGTTTAATTTTTTTCTTCCTATTTCCGGTTGTGAATGGGGTAGTTACAACTTTCCTCTTTCTATCTTTTCTTTGTTGAACTCTTTTTGATATGCCGGTCTCCGCAACAGGATCGAATTCCACTTCCGCACTCAGACTGTCATTTTAAGTAGTAGCTGTTGAAGATTGTCCAGACATTTCATTCTTGTACATTTTAATATAAGAAGGAAATTGATCTTTGAAGAACTGTAACATTACACGGTCTTTTCTTTTCATCTCTTCTTTCAAAACAAGATTCTCCACTGTCAACTCCAAAATAGAGTGCTCCAAGTTCAAAACCCGATTTTCAAGCTCTCTATTTGTTGCTTTCACCGAAGCTATTTTCTTCTTCAAGAATTTATCTTTCTTAAACAGCTTGTATATATCTTCATTTATTATCTTGAGGTTTCTTTCATCTGTTATTGGCCTCGAAACAGGGGGAGTATTTGCAGATGTTTTAGTATTTCTTTGGCTTGCAACCTTGACTGGACTAGCGTGGTAGGTTGAGATGAATCATGGTGAGGTACACGAACTGGGCTAGCCACCCGGATAGGACTTGGTACCCTAAGTGGACTAGCTACCATAACTGGACTGGCTCGACTATGTGGAGATGGACTGGACGACTTAGATGACATATTTGAAGGTCCATGAAATAAAACCTTCTCATCATCTGTTATTCCTCTAAAATGTGGGAGAATCTGTTATTTCAAGTTTTCGTCTAAGTTAAACATTAAAACATATCATTTTTGCAGAGATTTAAATGAAAAATTGTATTGAAGGTACCTCATCATCCTGAAGGTCAGCAAATATACTATTTACATCTTTTTCAGTGTACATAAAATTACAATCCCAACGAGTAAAACGTGGCCGGAATAGTTCATCCTCCACGGCATTAATGGTTGTATGTTCAAGAAACCAAATCT